TTTTGGAGATTGATTTTGGAATTTAGATGCACTGTTATCAATTGTGCTTAGCCATACATGTTCATATCCTTGAAGATGCACCATGGAACTGTTGCAGCCTAGAAGACACAAATTTAACAAGTTAAAAGTACATGAGTCAAAAATTAAAAGCAATAATATTCCAAGTAGATGTTCTAACAGTGGCACAAATCAAGTTACAGAGGGAAGGTAGTTCTTAAAATAAAAGGCTTATTGACTAGCACTTTGTCTGTTATAGTATAAAGGTTAGGAACCACAAGATGTAGAGGCTCAACTATGTCATTTATTGTTCTTAAGTCCTGGATCAAATTCCATCTACCACTGGGCTGTTTTACAGCTTGGAAGTCCACATGCAAGGCAGAGGTGAAGTAAGGAACTACTTATGAGGTTTTCCGTCAATTCCAACAACTAAGAAATAGTGAGAAGAGTTGGGACCTTGGAAGGCTTTTAGGACCAAATAATAGGCTCTTGTGTCCAGGAGAAAATGCATATACTTACCAGAAATGTTAATGCTCACCCACGGCTTTTCTGGGAGGATCTGAACCGTTGAAGTGTCCTCTTTTGTTTCCAGTTTTCTTTATAAAGGTCTTTTGTCTCTAGTTGGGTTTATTCCCAAGTATTTCACCTTGTGTTTGGCTACTGTAAACAGGAAGCTTTCTTAAGTTGCACTGCTTTCTTTGTTGCTGTATAGAAATACTACTGGTTTTTTGTATGTTGAGCTTATATCCTGCCACTCTACTAAACTGGTGTACTAGTTTTTAAAAACTGAGTCTTTGGGGGTTTCTGTGTATCCTATCATTTACATGTGGTGACAATTTTACCACCTTTTTGTTAATTTGGATGCCAATTTGCCAATATTTCCCTTTTTTATGTTATTGACCTCACAAGTATTTCCAATATTGAAGAGGAGTAGTGATAGTGGGCATCCTTGCCTGGTCTCTGTTCACAAAGAGAAAGCCTTTCCTCTTTCTCCATTGAGAACGCTATTTGTTTTGCACATGTAGTTTCATTAGATTGAGGAAATCCTTTTCTATTCCTATCAGGAAGGAATACTGAATTTTAGCAAAAGCTTTTTCTGCAAATATTGATAGGATCATGGGGTTGTTTTTGGCTTATTAATGTGACAAATTACATTGATTGTTTCTCTTATGGTGAATCATCCCTGCATACTTGTTAGGAATCCCTCTTGGCCATGACAATTTATTTTGGATACTGTTGGATTCTACTGGCCAGGATCTTTGCGTTTGTGTTCATGAGAGATAATGGTTTGTAGTTTTCTTTTTTGGCGATATCTTTGCCTGGTTTTGTGCTTCCTGCATAAAATGGCTGAGAGTTGATCAACAGATTTGAACCTTGACGTATCGCGCCATCCTCTCAATCTCTGACACGTTTAAGCCCATTGTTAAACTATTTCAATCCATTTGTTCGGAGTTTTCCTTTCTTTCTCTGACCCTCCACCTACCCAGCATGATGTGTTTCTCCAAGAACTACAGCTTCCTGAAAATATTCCTAACGTATGTGAGATGAACTTTCATCATGCTTGCCTCTAAGGAGCACCCTGCTTGCACTTCCTCTAAGCCAAATTTGTTTGTTCTTTTTGTATTCCAGGAGTTACTCAATACTCTTCTACAATATCATAGGCAATGATTCTTCTTTAGTCATCCTTATTCACTGACTTTCAGATGCATAGGAAGTAATTGAAAAGACTATGGCTTTGATTAGGCGCCATAATAATTAAATGGACATTCTTGCTCTGTAACACGTTGGAGAGGTCCTTGATAGCAAGTTTTCAAAAGACTTCATGACTGCCAATGATGAAATGAATAAATAAAATGAAATCCTTGACACCTTCAATCTTTTTCTCCATCTATCATGATGCTATCTGTTGATAGAGTAAGTGAAGATTTTTGTTTTCTTGATGTTGAGATGCAATCACATAGAAGGCTGTAGTCTTAGATTTTCTACATCAAATGCTCAAGTCCTCTTCATTTTCAGCAAGCAAGGTGTGTCATTTACATAGTGCAGTTTTTAATGGGATCTTCTAACTCAATACACACGAAACCTTTTCTTTTTTTGTGGTTGCACTATTTTTTTTTAAATTCATTTTAATGAAAGTTACTTTGGATTTCCGTTCTTTCACTGTTGCACTTTTCTCCCTGCCCAACCTCCCCCACTCCCAGTTCACTATTCTCTGAAAAGTAAAATTCTTCCATTGTTACACAGTCCCTCCCCGCCAAGTCCACTCCACTATGCAGCCTTCGTTCTGAATTCCTGTCCTGACAGTAACACCTAATCATATACTCCTTTTAAACAGTTCTCTCCCTCATCTGTTTCAATGCAGTATACATAATTTATCCCATTTTTCTCAGTCTCCTCCCAACTCCAATGTCATTCCTGTTTTACAACAGTGACACTATGAAGTATTTGTCCTTTTGTGACTGAGATATTTTACTCAGCATAATGTCCTCCAGGGTCACCCATTTTGTACAGTATTTCATGAGTTCCTTGTTTTTTCAATGCAGGATAGTATTCCATTGTGCAAATATAACACAGCTTCTCTATCCCTTCATTTGTTGATGGGCACTTAGGTGGTTTCCAGCTCTTTGCTATTGTGAACAAAGCAGCGATAAATATGGATGTGTAGCAACTGCTCTACAGAATGATGGATCTCTTAAAAGACAGATGATGTACCAGTTTGGAGCCGACACCCTGAAAGGATAGGAATTATCTTCAAGATGCAGTATGCACTTTAAAACAATGGCCATTATATGGTTCTACATCCCCAATAGGTGTAGGTGCCCCTGGTCATGGCCCTGTAGGGACATACTTGGTAAATTCATACATCTTGTCTCTGCAACCTTAGTCTGGCTTCAGTGCGAGGACATTTCTACATGACACACTGACTTTCATGAAATATAAAGCTATAGCTGCTGTGTTGGAGCTAGTAAACTGTAGAAAGAATTAGGACTTTGGTAAGAGATAATGATATCTGATCAAACACAGCCAAGTGTGTAGGTGGGATGACTACAGTTCTATTTCGGCACTCTCATGTCCAGTTATAACTGTCTATTATCAAGTACAGCCAACCCAGCTGGACAAAAGCATGGCAAGCAGGGAGATTTAGACCACTCAGGCAGCAGTGTCAAGCAGCAAGCCACCCAGGGGAGCAGAAGTGCATGCCTGAGATGGCCCTGAAGGCTGTTATGGAGGGAGATAAAACTGCTTCTGTGGGGGCTATGGTTACTCTCCCACTGTCCCTCCTTCTCAAGTTCTCTAGAAACTGACCAATCATTCTGGATAAGCTCTTCCTGATGGAATACACCAAGAGTGGGCCAAGGTGGACTCTGGGCCACTCAGATATTCCTGATCTGCTTGAGACTTGTTCCCTAATACCTTGAGTGTCTGCAGATAGCTCAGTCTCCCATTTCTTCAGAATATTGTTCCTTATAAAACAGGAATCACTTTGACCTGGAGAATTTGAGCCAATCCCCTCCCCAAATACTGACCAACTGGCCCATGGCCCAGTGATGGTGTGGCACTCCAGGAGAGGCTGCAGCTGGCATCTAGCTAAGACTATCTTGTTTAGCTTTCTGTCCTCTCTCTGTCCTACTTGTCCCCAACTTACTTTCTCCTGAAAAATTCCCCCATTAATTACTGGAACAAGGATTCTTTTTATTGGTTCTGCTTCCAGAAACTTGATCCAAAATTTAAGACAAACCAGTACTGAAGCAGGGCTTAAGTGTGTGAAACTCAATGCCAACTCCTAGTTGATAGTTTCCAAGGCTGTAAATTGACCAGGGAAGAGATTGCCCATCTTTCTTCCTCACAGCTGCTGGTGGATTTAAACTGTCACAGTCTTGGTCTTTGGGTTAGTAATGCAACTCTTTAAAAATTCCTAACAAATATGGTTATATTTTAAAAGTCAACATTGATTTGAGACATCCTGGTCAGAGGAAACCTTTTAAATGTCATTTACACAGAAGGAATATTCTTGAACACCTGAACATATGCTCATGCCCTTCACAATTTTAGGGGAGCTCAGCAAAGTCACTCCAGTGTGACACATGAAGGTTACTCCTTCACCTACGTGGCTGATAGTACATAAGGTCCTGCTGGTGCCTGCACTCAGCACAAAGGCCCAACACATTCCCACATATTCTACCAAGACAAAACCTTTATTGTAAAAAAAAAATAAGAACATAAATAACAATAAAGCAAATAGTGTGTGAGGTCGTCTTCAGAACTCAACAATGAGTCAGCAGGCTTGGGAACCACAATCAATACTGTGGCGACAGCCCTGGAGCCTCAGCCTCCTGGGATACACCTTTAAGCTTTGGTTTCTTCTTGAAGCCATTCTTAGAGTGTAGCTGTGTGGCCATGCTCTCTACCAGCCATCACGTCTACCACTAACATGAAAAGGACACACTGCCTGCTCTCTGGACTTCAGCCACAGCTCTGTCCCGTTGGCCTCAGTCTGGCTGCTCGCTGAGGTATGGGATATACCTATGAGGGTCCTGAGACACAGCTGGTGTTCAGAAATCCATGGGACGAACAGTTCTTGCTTGAAACCACCTTGGAAAGTTGGGAGACTGGAGTACTGGGGCCTGTGGAAGAAGACAGAGGACCCTGAATTCAGCAGGGTGAGGCAGGTGGTAAGGTAGGAATGCCAGGAGCAGGCCCTGTAGGCAGTGAGGAAGCTAGCTTTTCTTTACTAGACATTTGAGCATACCCCTGAGTCCTATCATTCTCTCAGGCCCTAATTCTGGTGAGGAGGCGCAGAACTCAAGAGACCTGACCAGGGGGTCTGCTGGCCCATGCAGTCTAGAGTGCTGGGAGGGTTGGATGTCACAGGTGGTGGAGGTGGGGAGAGATGAGGGGTATGTAGGTGAAGCAGAACCCAGCTCAGAATTGGTGGGATTCTGGAGGGAGCAGGCTTTGTGAGGCCTCAGAGTGTCCTGGTGAGAGCCTTCCCAGGCTTCTGCTCAGGATGGGGGTGAGGTCTCTGTGCTGCTCAGCTGTCCTTGGTCTGGTACGTCCTCTTCTTTCTGTTCCAACTGGAAATTCTGTGAACAAATTGGCAGTGATGCCAGGTAGACACATGCCCAACCATGGCTAACCCACCCTGGTACGGGCAAGTTTATCTTCATCAGGGCTGCCCTTGTCTGGGTGACCCGCCCTCATGTGGTGGCCCTGTCCTGGTTTGGGTGGCCCCATCCTTGTCTAGGTGGACCAACCCTTCTTTGGGCTGCCCATAAAAGCAGGGAAAACCCTGCTGCTGGCTCACATCCCTACACACAGCCTCCCTACCTCCAACTCCTGCAAAACCTGGTCCATGAAGTCCCGAGAGTTCTGTTTGTAAGACACAGCCAATCGAATTGCATCATTGAAGAGCTATGGCAGGTTGGGGCAATGGTAGGCATTAGGGCAGCGGCTGTGTGCGCCATGGTCTCAATAGCAGTCCATGTGGAAATTCCCACCACCAAACCAGCCCATCCTCTTCCTTCTTCCACACCCTGTCCTACCCTTTGGCTTACAGCCCCTCACCTTCACCACATTTGTGCCGTCAGCAGCAGACACAAAGTACATGGGCAGAGAGAACTTCCTGGCAAAACTGAAGCTTTTTTGAGTCACCTTCATGTCTGCTGTAAAGAGAAGATAGGACACAGTACATTTTGAAGAGCCAAGGGGGCAGGCCACAGGAAGTAGGGGGCTGGGGGCTACAGTGTGCATTCCAGAACAGGGCCCATAAGTGGGCCTCTGTAGACAACAATGGGCTGGGATTTCTTTGGGAAGGGGAGAGGAATGTGCAGTAGTCCCTAGTGCCCACCATCAATCTTATTTGCCACCAGAATGCAGGGGATCTCGGGCCTGAACTCCCGAAGCTCCTCATACCAGGTGTTCAGGTTCTTGTAGGTGATTCTCCTCTGTACATCGAACACCTGCAAGGAGCAAGGTGGCAGCTCAGACTCTTGTTTTGCCTGGGCTGCTTGAGCTGGCCCACCATCGGGACCCTGAGGTGCAAAAGTTGACTCCTGCGTCCTCCACTCCACTTTCGTTCTTACTCTGTACTATCTTGACCACAGCTTGCTGCAGCACTATACCACCTCAGACAGCCTGTTCCCACCACCTGAGGGTGTGGTACGCTTGTGCTGCTATGACGTGGTCACCCATGGTGGGCTGGTTTCAGCAGCTTCCTGACTGAGGCAGACTAGAAGGTCTGATACCTACTTCTGAAAATCTGAGCTGGGTACTGATGCGCTTTGGGTGCAACTTTGCAACTAGTGACTGCAAGTGGCTGAGGAAGATGGCCATCAGATTGATGCTCCTGGAAAGGTCCTGGCCTGGGGCCTCATGTGAGGGGACCCAGGAGAATTCCTGGGAAGTGTCTGAAGCACTGGACCTGGAAACGACTATTAACTGCTGACTTGCATCTTGTTCTGGGTTGCCCTTTGGGCATGTTCCCAGCTTCCTCTTCCCTTTGAGCTAGAACCTGGGCATGGGTGGGTGTCCCTGGAAGGAGGCAGGGCTCTCATCATGTTGGTGCTATGGCTCTGGGAAGGGGGGATCCACCATCAGGAGCAAAGCCATTTTAATGAAAACCTGAGAGGCACTGAAGCTGGTCTGGAAAAGTGTAGGAGACAGTGTGCAGGGCTGGAGCAGATGGCAAACCACCAATCCTGTGTCCACAGCAGGCAGCAACTTTCAGATGCATATCAAGTGATTAAAAAGATCCATCAGAGCTTGAGTCAGATACACTTTAAATTCACATCCTTGCTGCTCAGTACTCTGGAGAGGTCCCTGAGAGCAGACTTTCCAAGTGTAATGTGATCTCCTAACTGCTGGTGCAAAGGCTGTTAATTGTGGATCCAAGTAGATGAAATCATTGACAATTTCACTTTTCCTCCACCTATCAGGATGTCAATTGGCCCAGGTTTTTACTTGCATGTCGTATCGATAATTTCCACGTACTGTTAGATTATCTTTCTTGAGAATCAGAACAAATATAATCTCTTCTAGTCAGTTGGCCAGACAGCTGCCTTCCAAATTTTGTAATATAGACTGATGAGTATGTTCAGGGCTGTTTCTGCCGGTTGAAACATGCCATTTAGTATCTCATCAATCCCTGGAGCCTTATTTTTTTGCCCATGACTTCTAATGTTGCTTGAAAATCTCCATAACCATCTACTCTTTATCATATGCTACTTTCTGAATTTTTTTTTGTATTGTTGTTGTTATGTGCCGTCGAGTCATTTGCGACTCATAGCGACCCTGTGTACAACAGCCCTAAACCGTGCTCTATCCTGTGCCAATCTCATTGCCTCTGACAAACCCATCCCGAGTACCCCAGTCACTGAATCAATCCACCTCATAGAGGGTCTTCCCCTCCTGCGTTGTCCCTCCACTCTACCCAGCATGATGTCCCTCTCTAAAGACCTGTCTCTCCTTACAACATGTCCAAAGTATGTCAGATGAAGCCCCAGAATCCTTGCCTCCAAGGAGCAGCCTGGTTTAATCCTCTCTACGATGAATCTGTTTGTTTTCTTGGCAGTCCATGGTACATTCAATACTCTTCTCCAGCACCACAGTTCAAAGGTGTCAATTCTCCTTCTATCCTCCCTAGTCGTTGTCCAGCTCTCTGATGCATAACAAGTGATTGCAAAAACCATGGCCTGTATCAGGCGGACCTTAGTCTCCAGAGAGACACTGTTGCTCCTCAGTATTTTGGAGAGGTCCCTAACTGCAGACTTTCCCATCGCAATACGTTTTTTGATTTCCTGGCTACTGGTGCCAAGAGTGTTGACCGTGGAGCTGAGCAAACTGAAGCTATGAACAATCTCAATCTCTTCACCATCCATCCTGATGCTACCGATTGGTCCAGTGGTGAGAATTTTTGTCTTCTTGACATTGAGCCTCAGTCCATATTGAAGGCTGCAGTTCTTGACCCTCTGCAGTAAGTGCATGAGGTCCTCCTCAGTTTCAGCGAGCAAGGTTGTGTCATCTGCATAACGCAGATTGTTGATAGATCGTCCACCAATCCTAATGCCACGCCTCTCCTCATAGAGCCCCACCTCTCGTATTGCTTCCATCTTCTTTTGATGCTTCCTGAATCGTTCAAGATTTTGTCCATAACTCAAGGCTTGAATTTGTTTTTCAGTTCTCTTAGTTTGAGAAATGCCAAGCAGGTTCCTCCCTTTTTATCCTCTGCCAGCTGCTTTGCACATTTTATTATAATACTTTGCTTTGTCTTCTTTAGTTTTCCTTTGAAATCTTCTGTTCATCTTTTTTTACTTCAGCATGTCTTCCCTTTGTTCTGACTTACTCTACTGTTTCTAAAATAAATGATAGGGAGCTCTGGTGGCCTAGTGGCAAGAAGCTGCACTGCAATTCCAAAGGCATATAGTTCAAATCCACCAGATACTCTCTGGAGAAGAAGGGACAATCTCTCCTGTGCCAGTCGGCTCTGATTTGACGGTACACGAGAAAAAAAAAAATAAAGTGATAGAATAGGAATTGAGTACACATCGTGTTAAACGGGAGAAACTGGTGTGAAAAAAAGGATGGTGGGCACCAAGCAAGTGCTAAATCCAGCAGATGGGACATTCACTTTGAAGCTTGAAAAACAATCCTCTCTTCTGAGACCAAGGCAATGGTCAAGCACTCCAGATCCTGGATAATGGCCATTCTCAGTGGAGACCCTGAGATCTCTTTGGCCCTGAGCTTCACTCCTGCCTTCCAGGCCCTCTTAGGGCTGGAAACTCATGCATGTTTGGTTTGGCTAGCCTGATTTTCCTAGCCCATGTGAGTGACAACCCCACACTCTTCGCCTTCTGCCTCTTGGAGTGGCAGCCCTTCTCATCTGCTTCGGGTAGGGACTCCATCCCTCTGGCACACTGTAACAGTAGCACCACACTCTGGAACTAAGCTGGTGGAAATGTGACTCTTTGAGACTTAGGAAGCCATGCATGGCCTACCCTTTGACACCAGAGGCCACAGTCTTATCCTCTGAGGCAGAGGTATCTCTACTTCCTGAGATTCTTCCTACAGCTCGGCTAATCTCCAGCTACTTCAGAGATGGCCCTGTCCTTTGAGAGCAACAGATGTAGCTCCTTTGGCCTGTTTCCTGCCTGAAGAATTCCAAGAGGCATTGTTCTTTCCTTTGATTCTTTCTCTATCCCTACAGTCTCAGCTGATGGGTTTAATGCTTTGACAGTTGGCCAGATCCATCAGTCACAGTCCTAACTTCCTTGACAAAAGACTGTAGTCACATCTTTGGTGAGCATTCTAGGGCACTTGACCTTAGTTTGTACAGGAGAATTTCCAAAGTTTCTAACTTGTCATTTTATGAACTTACTTTTTAAGCACATCTTTTACCTCTCGCATTTTGCTCTAAGTGGCAAGAAGAAATCACCAAAGTCCTTTAAGATCTTGCTTAGATATCCTCTCAGCCAGAGATCTAAGTTTATCATTTACAAGATCTACCTTCCACCAAACATCTCAAACCAATTCAGACAAGTTCTTTGCTACTGCATAGAAAACATTATCTGTCATTCCACAGTCCAATCACATGTTATTTCTTTTTAAAGTTCAAACAGGAGCATTCAGTATTTAGTAGTCAGAATTCTACCAAGTCTCTCCAAGACAATTTAGTCTTTTAATATTGTTGTTAGGTGCTGTTGAGTTGTAGGTAACGCATAGCAACCCTATGAACGAAAGACCTGAACACTTGTATAACATTCATTGTTTATCCACGTTCATAGTTCCGGAGGCAAGTTATTTCAGAAATGGATGCCACTCCTGCTTCCAAGCTTGTTTTAATCGGGTAGATCCACCAAACACGGTCTACCATGGGTAACCATTATTGCATTCAACACATCAGTGTCACAGTGCTCAGCATCACAACAACCTCAAATTATCTCTGTACGGCAAATGGACAGACCAGTTCTATACCACTTTCAGTATTAGACACTTAAAACGTCCAGAACACTTCCCAAAACACAATTCCAAAGCCATCTCCCCATTTTACACATTTCCTAGAGCAGCACCCCCATTATTCCAGCTCCACATTCCATCTTTGCTACTTAATGTTGCCAAAACAGAAACACCCCAAGTGAATGGCTTTAACAAACAGACAAGGCATCTGTTCTCAGGTAAAATTCAGAGCACCAGTTCAAGACGATTTTCTCTCTATTGGATCTGAGGGGAAAGTCCCTGTCACTCTTTAATATCTATGAGCCTGGCACTCCCTCAAGATCTCCATATATCTTCACATCACAATTCTCCTGGGTTTAGGAGGTTCTCAGTTCAGGGACCCCAGGTTCAAATGCTGCACTCTGTTTCTGGCAGTAGTGAGGTCCCTCCCTCTTCTCTCTTTTGATCTCTTGTAATATAAAAGGTGGACTTAAGCAGGGCTGGGAGTTGAATGAGGCTTATGGGGCAGGCAGCATGTGCTTTGCTGTGCTGAAGCTGCACCTACTTTGTTGGAATATCAATCTCCACTGGCAGTGTACCTATCACCTTGCTGAAACAGTTTGTCTCAGCCTCAAAGGTCCATAGAGCGGAGCCTCACCCAAAAGCTTGGGGGAGGACATGTGGTTTGAAGTGCCAGAGAGCTCCCCACTCCCACTCCCAGCCTTGCACGTGACTATACCATGATGCAGGCATGAGCCTTGTGGTAGTAGGAGGCATGCATGCTCTGGAACCGCTCCTGGCCTGCTGTGTCCCAAAAGTCTGCAACAGAGACACAGCTGTTACTGCCCAGATCACATCCCCACCATCAGGACTCAGTGCAAGGGCAAGGTGACTGCTGAGTGTGTGGGTGCGCATGCATGTGTGCAGTTGTACATTTGTACTGTCAGGCATGCACTGTGGATTTGTTTACTCTCTCCAGTCCATAAGCTTTTGATTCTGTTATTTTACAGCTCTGATTTTCTTGTGCACATTCAAGATTGCCATGTCTTCTTCGTGGATGCATGTATATATACACAGAAAGATAGTGGGACAGATATAAAACACACATGCATCATCTGTGTTCACCTCTGTGTGCCTGGGTCGTGATAGAGAACAATGACAGCATCTGACATTTCTTACTTGAGGAAGCACCTGTCTTGTATCTCAGGGTCACATCTTCCCTCCGGCAAGGACAGCAGCCCCCTCCACCCTCTGCACTCCCAGACTCTGCACTGGCTCAGATGCTGGGGTCCTCCCTACTGTCCCACTTCCTCAGTAGGGCCTCTTTTCCCAACTTTTGTCCTCTCTCCTCCCACTTCTCACCTCCTCAAGGCCACCTTCCCTTCTCAAAGGGGGAAGCTCACCCACAAGGACGGTCTTTCCATCTACAATGGCCTTGTGCTTGTACAAAGTCAGTGCATACGTAGACAACTGCTGGGGCCGACTAATAGCAGGTCAAGGAGACAGACACGCATAAGGGAGTGAGGGAAAGGCCTTCTGAGATTCAGACGGAATAACACAGATGCTGTGGATAGGCATCCTGACACAAAGGACCAATTCCAAATGCTGCTGGCCCAAGAGGAGCCATCCCAGTACGATGGTCTGTGGAATGCCCAGGCCATCCAAAAGCAAGGAAAAATGAGAATTTCCCAAAGAGGTTGTCATTAGTGGTATTGTGGAGGATGTACAGATGCCACAGCTCCTATAGGAGGGAACCCTCACTCCAGGCTGCCCGGTGGAGGGACAGGTGGGACAGGGAAGGAACCTGTAGGAGGGAACCCTCACTCCAGGCTGCCAGGTGGAGGGACAAGTGGGACAGGAAGAATGCTGTAGGAGGGAACCCTCACTCCAGGCTGTCAGGCAGAGGGATAGGTGGGACAGGAAGAATGCTGTAGGAGTGAACTCTCACTCGCAGCTGCCAGGTGGAGGAACAGGCAGAACAGGGAAGGATATTGTAGGAGGGAACCCTCAATCCAGGCAGCCAGGTGGAGGCAGGGACCCTAACTCTCACTCCCAGGTGCCAGGGTGGGTCTTGTTCTGACCACCTGGGGAGGGAGAGGGACCGGTAGCTTGTCTGTGAAACTGATTCATACTAGAAGACTTCTTAAATGTCAGTGGGTCAGAGCCTGATAGCAGAGAGGATCCCTTAGGAATGGGCTCTAAGGCTTGTATGCCTTCTGTATACCCATGGGTGAGGCAGTGGACAGAGAATTTCTGAAGAAGAGGGGAGGAGGGGAGAGAAAGAAGGAGAGGAAAGGAGGGGAGAGGAAAGGGGAGGCGAGGCGAGGCAAGGCAAGGAGAGTGGTCCTGGATCCAGGATCTTCACTCTACACCCTGTGAACCATGAGCAGTGCCAAAATGCTCACCATCAGGTGACTAAGACACACACCTACCTCCTCACTCCCCTGGGAGGGGCAGGCAAGGGGTAGGGGTGATGGGTAGGGATGGCAGGGGTGAGCGGAAATAACAGGGATGGGGGCAGCCATGGAGGTGGGAGGGACAGCCACAAGGTATAGAAAGTGGAGTCAGGAGGAAGAGGCTGGAGGAAGAGGAGAATGTCTGTTACTTAAGAAGGATACAATCCATCCATGAGGAACCGCTCCATGAGTCTGCAAGAATGAAGTGGTCTCAGCCAGCACCCCTGCTGAATGGCACCCTGGCCACCTATACCACCCCGTTCAGTCTTCTCTGGGGCACGGTGGTGCTGCTCACCCGAGACCCCTCTAGTGTGGGACAAGCACCACAGTGTCTCATATCATCACGGGACAGCCAGGGGTAGCACCTGCTCACCATGAGCAGCTGAAGAAATGAAGATGCCCTGTGGTCCTGTAGGGGAGCACTGTGGCATAATCTGAAGGTCTATTGCTAACCCTAAGGGTGTTCCTGGGCAGTTGAAATCCACCAGCAACTCTGAGAGAAAAGTGGAATCTCCTCCTGTGATTTACAACCTTTGAAAGCCTGTTGAAAGGACAACTGAGTTCATCTGAACTACATGGTAATGAATGGGTTGCTTTGGCCCTGATCTTGGTAAGCAGTATACACAGGAGTAGCCAATCTAAAAGGAGTCCAGCTGGCTCAGGACACTGCCATGGCTGTGAATTGTCCAGTCACTGACAACACCCATTCTGGCCTGGACCTGAAAGCACAGCACACTACACCTATCCCACTCTAGGACCTGTAACCACTTCACCTTCTGCAACCTGTCCTCACACCAGGATCTGTAACCACATCACCCTCCACAGTCTGTCCCTACAAGCAGGACCTGTAACCACACCACTCTCCATGGCCTGCCTCCACATCAGGACCTTCAACCACATCACCTCCACAACTGTTCTCACATCAAGATTGTAGAGTGGAGATCCCAAAGACTGAGTTAGGCATCGGAGTGACAGAAGGGTCATGGAAAAGGTAAGCTCTGTAAGAATGTCTGAACTTGTAAGAAATAGAGACTCTGCAAGTCTTTCCTTATCTGAAATGCCAGGAAGTTGTAATTATGAATTTTTCTTTTTCTGCTTGGTTAGAGAAGCTGTGACCTTGTAGAAGTATTCCCTTATCTAGAAAGCCAAGACTTGTTCAAACTCACAGACCCCTACCTTGCTGAAATTGTGACACTCACACTGACACTGTGAAACCACCAATGAAAGAGTAGTAGAGCTACTTCTTCTCTGTTTCCATAAGGAGCTCCGAACAAAAGAGTTGAGAGAACCTATCCATTTTTGACATGAGTCTCCTTGAGCTCTGCTAGTGTAATAAAGTTCTTCCTCTTACTAATGAGGCATTTGTGGTGATTTACTCCTGAGGTGTCTCCCTGGGTCTTATCTTCCTGCAGTAGAAAGCAAAGCAAAACTCATCTGCACCTAAATCCTCCTGTTAAAGGGAGTTCAACAAACTCAGGCCAGGTCTTGTCAAGAGGGGCACCAGGGCCAAAAGAACACTATAAGCAATTTAAATTAAAAAATATATAATAAAAGAATCTGTTCAAACCTCATACCACATAAAGTATCTACTTTCTTTAAAAAAAAAAACCAAACCAAAACACAATGCTAGAAGGTGAGGGAAAAATCAAGGCAGTTGAGTGTACTCTGTGCCTGAGAGGCCAGGATTTGACTAGCTACTGCTTTCCAGCTTGGATGAACTCCCAGTGGGCACAGAGTCATAGGCTGGAGACAGGAACAATGGCATATGATGCTCAAGTGCCACTGAGAATGAACTGAGGATTTCTCTTTTCCTGCAGATGCCATGGTGCTTTACCACTGTCTGTGTTTCTAGAAACAACTTTTTGACTGGGATACTTCCAGGGACTAAGAACTGATGACTTGTTAATGAACTGAAAACTTGTATTTTGTTGTGTTAAATGAGACTGCACTGGACAAGGGGGCAGAGAGGCACCAGTTCACAAGCCATTTCCAACAAATTTATTTCTCAGCAAGCTGACCACCTGCTCTCCACCTACCCTGTTCTTTCTTTTGGCTCCAAACTCAGGTGGAGAGAAGGGGTGTTTTTTGTTGGGTAACTGACAAAACTACAAAATCCAACTTTACTTCTAATCTACTGGCATGTTGACAGTTTTGCTGTTATGTGCTGCTGAGCTGGAACTGACTCATAGCTGGATTCTCCAGTGGGTTTTCAGAGGTAGTAATCGCTTGGGAGAGTGTCCCTTTTCCACGGAGCAGCCGGTGCATTTGACCTGCCTGACTTGGGGCTAGAGTGCAATTCCTCACTACCTGGTCAAAGGCAGTTCTGGTCATACCTTCTACTGTCTTCTTTTGCTCACACATGGGGACACCTTGCTTTCACCTGCTCACCCAGGGCTGCTTCAAGAGTCCCTGGAGTGGTATGTCACACCTGCTGTCTGGTCTCATGGTGAAGTGTGAGATCCTCAGCCTTCTAACCTAGCTACTAAGGTGCACCCCTAGGCTCCAGCTATGACTGTTTCCTCCCACGTCCACAGACCTTCCCAGGGGTCTTGGAGATGTTCCCAGCCTGACTTTCCCTCCCTGGCCTCTGACATACTTGGACTTGCCCACTGCACTGTCCCTTAGACAGATGATCTTCACGTTTTTGTCAGTGTCGTAAAGGTCTTGGTCCAGTTCAGAGGGTCTGGCTTTGTTCTCGGCCATCAGCTCCAGGTGAGGAAAGGGAAGATGGAGAAGATGCCGTTAGAGAGAATCTCTCCAACACTGCTCAGCTCCCTCGCTGCCTAGAGGGGGCCCAGGGTCTGCAGCCATGCACGCGGGGAGACAGTTCGGCCAAGTAGGGGTTGTCCTCCAGCTTCGCCTCGTGTGCAACTGTGCCCGAAACAGCGCCCACAACCCGGCGCCAGCGAGGCAGGAGAGCGCTGAGCGCCGAGTGACACACCGCCCAGCCCCGTCACGCCCCTCCGCGCTCGTGCCCGCGGCCGGCTCCGATCTCGGCGGGACCCTCTCCTGGATGGGGCCGATGCCAGACCGGTGACCCCCCGAGATCTCTTCGGCTGCAGGACTCACACGCACTGCCTTCCGGGTTAGGGCTAGAGAACCGGCGCAGGGGCGCAGAGGGGTCCTACAGTGTCCTTCAGCTCTGCCCTCCGCAGAGGCCGCCTCCGGACCCCCTGCTGTGCCCACGCCACGCCCCCCCCACCCGTCCGTCTGTCCGCCCCGTGACTGTGGCTCACATGCCGGCCTGCCCACGGGCCACCCTCGACTCCTCCGCACCCCCACCCACCTGTGGTCCCCGTCAAATCCTCTACCTCCGGGCCGGCCTCGCTTTCTCCACCCACCAGAGCTCACCCCGCGCTGCGCTCTGCTTCCGTAGCGGACCGCGTCCTCGCAGCTGCTACGCAACAGCGCAAGGACCCTGAGCTGGGCTGCCCTGACGGAGGCCTGAAGGGCCCCGGCGGGCGGGCTGTCCAGCGCAGTGCCTGGCGAGGGAGGCCGGGCGTCGGGATGAAAGACCCCGGCGAGCGGGCTGTCCAGCGAGGTGCCTGGCGAGGGAGGCCGGGCGTCCTGCTAATCCGGGGCCTGCGACTGGGCGCGGTCCGCTGCCCTTGGGCCAGGGACCAAGTTGAGAGTTCATGCATCCCCAGGCCTTGGGGAGCGGTGGGCTGGTGCTTCAGGTGTGGGAGGCAGGTTCCAAATCTTGTAGTTCCGTGATGCGAAGAATTTGAGGAAATTGCTCGACATTTGTTCACTGAGAGTGGAGACTGAGCCTCATAGGGCAGCACCCGTTGCAGGTCCACTGGGCAGCGTCGGCCCCACGCCTGTGCTCTGCGTAGGGGCGGACGGAGGATGGTGGCGACGTGCTCGTCCTCTGCAGAAACGGCCCTGTAGGGATGGGCCTCCGGAGGCCCTCCATCCGGCTGTCCGGCCTTTCGAAACCGCACCCGGGCAGGGGCCAGCGAGGGTGGGGACAGGTGCTTGGACTTGTGTGACGGTCCAGGAGCCAGGTCGGTGGCTTGGATGGAAACTGTCAAAGAAAACTTCAGAGATTAAGGCAAATTGAGAACGGATAACGAATGTAGAGGATAGTGTGAAACACAGCATATAAGAACTTTCTAAGCAAACCAATATAATTAAATTTTTAAAAGTAGAGAGTTAATCTGAGAAGGTCCACACGGATAATGAGTTTGGCAGCCTCCAGACGAAAATAGTAAAGGCGTTTGTTTAGCAAGAACAAGGATAAAGAATGATCATTTGTGAAAACAGTAAGGGAAGTTCACATAGTGCCGCCTTGGATAGGTACAGGGCTCAGGTGTTCACAGAGCATCGTGCAACAAGGCACGTACGAATGTCTGGGATGCACTGACCATCCTACAGCAGAGGTTTCCCTCCTCACAGTCAGATTTTCACAGAACATCCTGCAGCAGGTGAGCTGCTCAAGGCCTGGTGGATGACCTACGTGTCCACAGTCCTTCATGTAGCACGGTTAGTCTTCCTGAGAGGCCATTAGAAGACTCGGATATGTACATACTCTCTTGAATGTCTTTCAGCCCATCTGACTGGGTAGATGTAGAACTCAGATCATTACATTCCTTCGAGCAGCAGGGTCACTTCCCCTCACTAGTTGTCACTAGAGAGGTACAAAATTCATGTGTGCATAGACCATCTTAGAGCAGAGCTTTCCCTCTTCACAGTGCAAAAGTACAGGACCTGGGTACGCGGGACCCAGATGCCCAAGGATCAGACTGCAGTAGGGGCAATCCTGACAGGGTAGTTATAGGAGACAGGTGAACAAATACCATCCTGTACTGTCAGCCAATCCAGTGGAGCAGGTCCAGGTTAAGTGGTCACAAACCATCCTCACGCAATGTTGTCCCTGTCACTGTGCAGGTATAAGGTTCAGTTGTGACAGACTGCAGCACTGTCAGCATTCCTCACAGGCAAGTTATAAAACTAGGTGTCCACAGACTTTCCTGCAGGAGAGTTTGGCCTCAACAAAAAGCAGGTACAGGACTGAGGTGGTACAGATCACAATGCATGTACAAGTCACAATGTATAACTGTCGGTCCTCTTCACAGAGCAGCTTCTGTGCACAGATCGTCTGCACCACCGCCAGCCCTCCTAACAGGGCAGGTTCAGGAATCAGGTGTGTGGATATCATGCCAGAGTAGGGTTTTTCCTCACCACAGTGCAGGGATTTAAATAAGGTGTTCAGAGACCATCCTGCCACAACTGAGTCCCCAACAGGGCCAGTAGAAGTCCCAGTTGTTTAAAGACCATACCGGAGCAGGGCCAATTCTCTTGATAGGGAATGTACTAGGTTCAGAGATAGGAGAATCATCCTGCATGATTGTCAGCTCACCTAATGGGGCAGGTATGGGAATCAGGTAGTCAGAAACCATCTTACAGTATGGCCAGTCTCTGTCACTAGGCAGGTACAGGACTGATGTGTGCACACATCTTACAGTAGCACTGTCAGCCCTTCTAACAGCACAGGTATAAGACTAAGGAGTCCACAAACCATACTAAAGTTAAGTTAGGGCGTTTCAGCAGGTAGGTCTGGGATTCAGGCATGAACACAGATCATCTTGCTGTACTGTCTGCACATGGATAATTCTGCAGTCATGTCGGTCCCTCGTATTGGGCAGGTACAGGATTCAGGTGCACACAGAGCATACCGTGGAACATTTAACCTCCTTCATGGAGTAGGTACAAAAGTCAATTGTGAACTGGATGAAATATGTTTATGGCATTGAAGTCTATGGGGGAGAGAATAGTTTA